TAAAAACTGCTATTTCAGTGATCGGCCAAAACGAGCTGCATATGTGAAAAATATCAATAAAACATAAAAATAGAGCAAATCTAACGGAATTTTTTCTCGATTCTTATCTTTATGTTCCATTTTACAAAAACAATGTGCAATAGATCAGCTTGCAAAAAGGAATATGTCCAAAAAATCGTTTTGAAGTTGTTCCTCTGTCGCACTGCTATTTCAGTGAACACAGCTGTATATTACGTTTTTATCATAATAATGTTTATGTTAAAAACTGTAAAAAAATTTAAAATATATAATATATAAACGTTTTAAAATAGTCATTTTACTATGATAGTAATACCTTTTTGCTTAATTTGTTTAATTTGGGCAATTTGATTAATTAACTTCTTAACTCGGTACTGAAGCACTTTTAGAATGACATCAATTATTGTATACTAGAAGATTAAGACTTACAGTGGCAAACAAATATCTCTCAAGTCTTCAGATTAAAGCAGCACTTCAAGTTTTGTTGGATAACTTCACTTATTAATTACAACATTTAAAGCCACAGCTAATTTTTTTCGTAATTGATTATTTATTACGTTTTTTAAAAGGCATCACTTGTGATACGCATTTAAGTTACAGTCTTCTAAAATTACACTATATATTTTCAGTTGAGCAACAATATCTCAGTTTCCCCATCTTCTGTTTACTTGATGATATTTAAAGTAATTATTTGCTGTAAAAAAAGTGAACCAACTAATTATTTGCGCCACAAATGTAAAACTTTGGCGTGATCATTAGGCAAAAAAGTATATGAAGGACACAGAGAAAACTGTTTTCGTTTCTCTTTTATATAAGCAACCATTCAGTGATTTCAACTACTGATAGGAATAATCTACTAGCTTACACAACGAGTGTATACGCTACTGATAGGTGACAAAAAGGTCTGATTATAAAACCACGCGGTGATAGAGACTACCTCAAATATTAGTTTGCTACAATTATTTTGTATATATGTATGTACCTTTGTGAAAACCCCGCAAAACTGCAGCTGTTTTGCTTTCACAAATAAATGTTAAGTTTGGAATGTATTTAATATTCTTGAACATATTTGCTTTCGGCTTATTTACACCTCTCTGGGGGCCCGATAAGAGTTATGTTCCTAAGCCTGCTACGCATTAAATAAAGTTGCTCGACTCGCTCCCAACGTAAACAACATTTCGCACACACACCCACGTCCCCAATAAACGTATTGGTGTTTGTGCGTTGAGGTTCGCTGGAGTTCGTCGTCACGGATCCGAATAACCTGACTATACTCTGGGACTCTCCTCTCCTGCACCTCAATGAGCAGTTGCCCGTTGGGTCTAATCATTCAATTTAATCACGAATAAAACTATAAATAGAAAAAAAGTAAAATGAAAAATAGTCATAAACTTGTTTGCGTTCAAAGCTGGACGACCTTTTTGTTACCCATTAATCACTGTTCAATAGGGAATATTAGTATTACATTTTTGTTCCCCTAGGAAATTTTAACCTTTCTTTTGAAATAAGATCTCCGCACAAATGTCCTTTCCAGTGTTTTTCAATATTTTATGTGAACAATTTAAGCAAGAAGTTGAAAATAATTGAACGTAGTTGATCGGATTACTGAGTATCTCCAAGTTGAGCATCCCAATTTCAGTATTCTCTATCATTTATTGTATTATTATACTTATTATTATTCATGTAAGCTGCGCTGATTGTGTGGGCACTTGTTCTCCATATACATATATATTTATTTTTTCCTCGGGTCTCTATCTTTTACTCAATTGGGCTGAGCACGTTTTCTGGTTTTGTTTTGGATTTTTTTTTTGTGTACAATATCTTTACATAACGTCTTTTTGCGGCCGGCATTATTATAGACGGGTTTTTGCATTCTGCTCGTATTTTTCAATTTGCTAAAACGCAGAAAGACCCGACCAGACTGTCTCGCAACCTCAAAAGGGGGTAATGCAGCCCCAGCCCCTCCTTTGGCATTACCTCTGGCCCGACCCCTCCTGCACTTATGGCCCCAAACTGATTACGAGCGAGTGTTGACTTGGAGAATGCCACAGAATGTGGGTCTTTTTGCACGTTTACGTTCGCCAGCCGGCTCTCGGTCATTGTTTGCTTTTATTTTTACTTCTCTTTGTAGTATTTTTGTACGATTTCACTTGCTGCTATCGTGCTAGTCCCGTCCGATTCTAATGCCATTTAAAATAGTAATTTTGCATTGCCAGCGCCTCAGTTGTCTATCAGCCATCGCCCGATGTGGTGCACTTTTTAGCTAGATCTCAGAGATAATCTAGTATTTGTGAAATAGTGTTTTGAACAACTTTATTTGGATATAATAAAACTGCAGCAACTGGCAAGTTAATTTTTTTTAAAATCTTAATTTGAGTACTTAATCAAATTTAATTATTACAACCAATGTTTGTGGTTCTAGTAGATCGTTATGAATCACTTTTTACTATCAATGACCTTGAACTATCCATCAAATTAATTGCTTCTAATCTTTTGTTCAAAGAACCTCACCTATATGGGTATTATAGTACTTAAAATTTAATGACAAACACTCAAGTACGTCAGCGATTTATGTGGGGGGTTCAAAATGTCCAAAGTGATAAGAAACATGCCCGTATAAATATAGAATTTGAAACATGTGCTCATACATTCAGCGAATGTTTGAGGGATAGTATTTTTCATAGGTATGGTCGTGGAAAATTACAAAAACCCATAAAAACTAACAAGTGACACGATAAAAATGTAGTTGTAGTCCTTGCAGTGGAGTCACGGTCGTTTTTCCACATGTTCCTTAAACTCTATTCGAAATGACTTAATGATTGCAAATTAATGATCATGATCACGATTGTATCCTTGAGAACACCCGTGAATACGTGATCAACTGCATGGAAAGTGCTTTTGAATATTCTTAGCACAAATGTGTCACAAAAAACGTACACAATTGTGAAGAATACATTTTTGGGTGTATTATATTGTTTAACTATTTAGATAGATAAAGATAAGGCTCTAATTTGAACTTTATATTCAGGAAAACTTTTATCAGTTTCCCACTGTTGTTTATAACATGTCATATTGGATAAATTATGTGATGTATTGGCTTTGATAAGGCTTTAAGGTCAAAACTATATCTTACTAGATATGACTGAGTAATTATGTGAAAAATATAGAAAAACAATAGGAGAATTAGTAATGTTATTGAATTTGAAATTACTTTCAACCCCCAAATGATTAATTATTAAATATCGACAAACATTCAAGTATAAATAAACATAAGTATCTACTAGATACTTTTTGTTTATGTGTATCTTTTTCCTTGCACAACAATATTTTATTGGATAAATTAAGCCACTTCTCTGCATCTCTTTCAGCTTGTGGGTCTCTTTCTTTATCCTCTCTCATTGTTTTGAAGTTTTCCACCACCCGTCTGAGCGTTTCTCCACTTTTCCGCTCTCCTTTGCGTGGCCTACGTGCCGAAAATCACATGTTTATTTTGTTTTGGGCTCTCTTTTTATGTTGGCATCTTACAGATACACCGCATGGTGCGAGTGGGATGGCCTATGTTTGTTGTGCTTGTAATCTATGGGGTTGTCTTGTTATTTGGATTAACTCACCTGTTGTCGATATTCGATTCGAATTTATATGCTAAGGCCGTGTCGGTGGGTGAACTTTCGCAGCCGATCAAAACAACAATTAGAAAATGCGTACAAAAACAAAACGATAAATAAAACGCACGTACACACACTGAGCGAAAACCTGTATTCATTGGATACAGGATGCCTGCGCTGGCTCTCGCGCTCCCAGCCGGCATAAGTCTCTCTCGTTTGCTCCCTCTCATTCGCTCTCACGCATCCGTGAACCGGCGCATCGGCTGTTTTCTGTTTTGTTTTTGTTTTGGATCTGGGGATACAGTGGAACTTCATTGGACGAACTCAATACAACACAGAATGTTAAAAATATCAACCATAAAAAGAGCTATACGAAGAAGAATTAATTCATGTTTAATAGTTTGTCTAAAAAATAGACTTGTATGTAATTATTTAACAAAATGTAGTTAAATATTCCTCCAAGTAAATACTGTGATTACATTATAGACTTTACTGTATGCTTTTTTTATGTTGCGCTGTAAAACCAGTTGTTGTTGCTGCGCTTTATGAGCTGCCTCCCCTTTTGCCTCTTTGTTTTCGTCTTCTTCGTTTTTGCTCACGTAGTCAACGCGTGGACAGCAATAAGCCCTGAGCGTGAACGAGATGGGTGACGAGTAAAAGAGAGCAGATAAAGAGTCGGAGGCATATTCGGTTCCCAGTGGCGTAGCTATCGCACAGAATTCACCGAACACTTCGCGAGAACGGACCAGTTTCCAGGCAATTGTTTAAATAAGTTTTTGCCTTAGCATCAATAAAAATTAATAGCGGCAGCAACAACAACTGTGCTAGTTATAGCAAAAAATAAAAAGCGAAAATAGACAGCAAAAGTGTTATATGAAGAGCAAAATAAACAAAAGATAAGGAAAAACCTGCAGTGCGACGATTAACAGTGAAAAGTAAAGTAACTAAAAGTTCTTGTGAGAAAACGAGGTAATTTTCCAGTGCCAGGGGAAAACGTATACTCTCTTCTAAAATAAGCTTTATTAGTGCAATTACTCCTTTTAAATCTTTTAAATACCAAATTTATTGTGTTTTTATTTTAATTCCTTACTAGTAAATAATTGATTTTAAGTGAGTGATTAGGTATTTAATTAATCCCGAGGGGAAAACCCTCTGACTCATATGCGCGATGAACTAAATCTGGGTTAGGGACACTCCCCTATACCAAATATTCCGCTATACCTTTTGAGGTTATACTTGCGCACAAGGAGTAAGGAGTCATCAATGCTGCATTGATTTTTCTTTGAACAACACTTTGTACTCTCACTTTGAATTGAAGTCACATTTTAGTTTCCATTTTTCTAACGACCGTTTGTTATGTTTTGTGTGCCCCTACAGATATCGGCTAAACAATCCGGCAGCCCCAAGGCAGGAACCTCTCCATTGGACAAACGTGTTTTGCAGCCCAAGGCACAGCAACAACAGCAACAGCAATCCAAGCAGACTGCCAGCAGCAACAACAACGCACAGAATACAAGCGGCAACAAAAAGACACAACAACCTCAACAGGGGGCAGCAGCAACAACCAACACACAGACAACAACAGGAGCAGTAGCAAGCACAGCGGCACCATCAACAACAGCAGCAGCAGCAGCAACACCGAGCACATCGGCAGCAGCAGCAGCAACAGCAACAACTGAAACAGCAACAACCACTGGTAAGTGCCTAAGATGGAAATTTCCTATATAAAAATTTAAATGAATCAAAAGTGGGCAAAAAACCAAAGCTATTTTAATTCAAAAAGAACACGCCATCATTTAAAAAGAAAACCATTAGTTGTTGTTTTTTTCTGTTATAAATAGTTTTTTATAGCTTTTTAGATATATTTGCTTTCCCTGTAGGTTTTGCCATATATTATGTACCTTATATAGTATAGATCCGAAATTTATTTCGCTAAACCCCCCCGCAGAGTTGTTTTCATGCCGGAGAGATGGGTTGCAAACCTGACCACATGTGACTGTGCTCTCCCTCACTTGCTCCGTTTCTCTCACGTGTCTCCTAGTTTTTCTTTGGGGTTTTCCCTGCTGCTTTCTCTCTCTCTGTTGATTGTGACCCTATGCTCCGAGAGAGAGACAAAGAGAGAGGATTCATTTTTGGCGACGCATATGGCGTGGCATGGCCTGATTTCTTATTTTTAAAACACTTCTTTGTTTTTAATACTCACCCTGAAACCACTTTTCATTTGCAGTTGATGCGACTCAGGCAGATGCGCTAGCCAAAGTCGTGGTAAAGGACAAAAGGAAGGTCAACCAAAAGGTAAGAAAATTAATAATAGTAATAATTTGTATAAAAATATAAAAATATATCGTAAATCTTACTCAATCTCTGCTTCCTTTAACAGGCCAGCGACTTCAGCAACGTTGGTGACTGGCCCACGCTAATCGGTGGAATTTCTGGCAGTGGCAAAGCCCCCAGCAACGAACCCAAGCGCAACCCAACGAAAAAACAGCAGCCAGCCAAAGCAGCCGTAGCCAGCAGCAACACAAGCACTCCAAGTGAAGTTGCCACAGAGTCTAACATCGCAGCACCCACCAGCAGCAGCAACAGCAGCAGCAATAGCAATAGCCAAGCAACAGCCACAGCCGCTCCTGTTGCCAGCACGAGTCATGATGCCAAAGCCCAGCGAGACGCTGAACCAGCAACCGATGCTGCTCCAGCAGCTGCTGGCTCCACTGCCGGGCCTTCCCTCACCAAGAAGCTACCCAAGCACAAGTGGCGTCCGCTGCCCATCGATCTGGCCAAGTCCAGTCGCCCTAAACCGATTGGCGGCCGGCCCAATCGGCGGCTCAGCGATGATGGCACCGACCAGCGCCGTCCGCCGCGCTCCTATCACGAACGCCAGTCAGCTGCAGGAGCAGCGGGAGCAGAATCGCGCCAGTCAAACGCTGGCCGTCATCCGTACGTCCCACGCTCCGCGACTGCTGCGTCCGAGCGCGTGGATTCCTGGCGTAGCAGCGGCAGCACCGCAGCCTTCGATGAGCAGCGCTCTGGAGCAGCGGGTGGTGCCGGGTCAGCAGCGGGAACAGCGGCAGCCGCTGGATCAGCAGCGCGCGGGCCGCGTCGCTTCCGGACGCCGTATCGCGGCGGGCGGCAAGGCCGGGGCGGATTCGCCCGACAGGGACCAGGTCGTCCGACTCATCGCATACCACGCCATCTGCTAGCTTCGGGCGAGTATGCCAACTATCTGCCGGCGGACGCCGCTGGCGCCGACTCCTCGCAGTCGTCGTATGTGCTCATGGGCACCCACTACTTTGGCAATGTGCCCGCCGCCTACATTGAAATGGACGCCAACAGCGTCAAGGAGGCCATCAAGAAGCAAGTGTAAGTAGTCTACAATTTTTGAAATTTTCCTAATGCCTTTCGCTGGATATCTATCTATCTATCTTGATAAAAACTGAAAGCTAAAGGCATTTTATCTCTGAACATTTGAACTCTGAACATTTTTTTCTTGACCTTGCACCTTCTTTACTCTCGTTTTCCCCCTGTAGTGAATACTATTTCAGCTCCGATAATCTTACCGGCGACTTCTTTTTGCGCCGCAAAATGGACCCCGAGGGCTATATCCCAGTGACCCTGATTGCTTCGTTCCATCGCGTTCTCGCCCTGACCACCGACGTGGCCTTGATAGTGAACGCCATTAAGGAATCGGATAAATTGGACCTCTTTGAGGGTTACAAGGTGCGCACTAAGACGACACCGACCGTTTGGCCCATCAGCGATGTGCCGGACGCTCAGGAAGGGGACCCAAAGGCTTCACAGCTGGAGAAACAGCAATCGGAGACGGCGGAGGAGGAGGATCAAGAGCAACTGGAGGAGCAGACTGAGGTTGGATTGTCGTCGCCGCCCATTCTCACATCGGCGATGGCAACGAAGCCGCTAAGCAGCATTCCGCCGCCGCCGGTGCCGCGCAACTCGCAGAATCTGATGCCTAAAATGCTGCAGGAGAAGCATCAGCAGCCAAGATCCTCGTCGGCCATTGCCTCTCTCAACTCGGTGAATGCGATCAGTGCTTTGACCCAGCATGTGGAGGGTGGTGCCGCCGAGCTGGCTGGACACTTGAGTGGTCTGGCAGAGAGTGTGAAGCCCAAGTCCTCGTCGACGCCGGATAAAAGGTCGGCTGCTGGCGGCGGCAAGGGAGCTGGGGCAGCAGTTGCTTTGGTGGCGGAGCCGGAGGGCATGTGGAAAGAGGTAAAGAGACGCTCCAAAACAAATGCTATCAAAGAAAACGCTACTAAATCAGCCAACAACAACACGTCAACACCACAACAACAGCCACCGCTTTCACAAACGCTCAACAACAATAACAATGATAATGTCAAAACGAACAACACCACGTCCAAGTCCTCGTCCACGTCCACGTCCAACGCCACATCCAACGCCTCATCATCCGCCACTGTGTGTGTTACCACGAACAATGCTTCCTCAGCCACCAAAGCAACCACCAATGCCACAAAAACCACGAAAACCACCACTACCACCGCCACCTCCACAAACAACAACATCAAATCTGGCAATGCTGCTTACTCCAATACCCACTCCAAATCCTCATCCAAAACAGCTGCTCCGCCATCCGCTCAGTGCCATGCCGAAAAGGAAGAACTAGACTTCCAGTTTGATGAGGAGCTAATGGACCCCCTACCCCCTGGAACCGGACGTATCAACAACTTCACCGAGAACTTCTCCGACGACGATGAATCCGACTATGAGTTTGCCGACCGTGACATTAACAAGCTGCTGATTGTGGCCCAAGTGGGCCGGGCACCCAAACACGAGGGCTATGATCGCACCGCTGACTTTACATCTCGCACCAAAATCACCCAGGATCTGGAGAACATCATTAACGACGGGCTGGTCAACTATGAGGAGGATCTGTGGACCACCACGAATGTGGAGCCCGATTACAAGACTGTCAAAGTAATTTCACAGGCTGACTTTGAGAAACTGGCTGGTGGCCGTGTAAAATCGGTGGTGCCACCGCAATTGGCACCTCCACCGCCGCCATTTGATGAGCACGATCTGGATGCTGATGAAACCCTTGTGGGTGATACTACTCTGAACTCTACGCTGAACTCGACACTGAAGTCTCGACGAGCCCGCTTTTATGCTGCTCCTAATTCCCACTCAATCGATCCCCGCACACCCAGGAAGCGGAAACTCCGTCACACCGCCAATCCACCTGTGGAGGCTCATGTAGGTTGGCTGCTCGACACCGTGGAGCACCGACCACGCACCACCTCCATGGGTTCGTCGGCGGGCACATCACCCACTACCTCTTCTTACGGATCCTTTGGCTCATCGGTGCCACAATCGCTGCCCATATTCCAGCATCCGTCGCATGCGCTGCTCAAGGAGAACAACTTCACCCAGCAGGTCTACCACAAGTACCACTCCCGCTGCCTCAAGGAGCGCCGGCGCTTGGGCTTTGGACAGTCGCAGGAGATGAACACCTTGTACCGCTTCTGGTCGTTCTTCCTGCGCGAGAACTTTAACAAGAGCATGTACAACGAGTTCCGTACTTTGGCGTTGGAGGATGCCGGAAATGGATTCCGCTATGGCCTGGAGTGCCTTTTCCGGTTCTTCTCGTACGGTCTAGAGAAGAAGTTCAGGCCGAATGTCTATCAGGATTTCCAGGACGAGACAGTTGCCGACTACGAGACAGGTAAAGAGTGATAACGATCCCAAAATGTATAGATTTTAATTCATTTTTTTATCCATAAGGTCAACTGTACGGCCTCGAGAAGTTCTGGGCCTTCCTAAAGTACTACAAGAACGGTGAGAAGCTGGAGGTGCAGCCCAAGCTGGCGGAGTATTTGAAGAGCTTCAAGAATATCGAAGACTTCCGTGTGGTGGAGCCGGAGATCAATGAGATGTTGCAGGGAGTGGGCAGCCTGAATCCTGGTCGCCAGCTAAACAGACATCGCAGCGTGTCCGAAAGCGATGGCACGGCTGTGATTACGGCCGGCGGTCGTCGCCTTAACACCACCATTACCAATCGCAGCGACTATGTGGGTAGGCTGCTCCAGCAGCAGCAGCAGCAGCAACAACAACAACAGCAGCAGCATCATCAGCAACACCAGCATCAGCAGGGATACGGCGGTTACAATCAGCAGCAGAACAGACGACGCACTGGCTCTTTTGGCAGCAGTACAGTGCGCATTCGCAGCGGTTCCCTGGGCAATAAGCCACAGGTGGTGAATCGCAATCAGGGATCGCAGCACGAGTTGCGACGCGGCGGCAGCAATACTGGCCTGGCGCCACATAAGCGACAGCAGCAGCAACAAAAGCCCAAGCCCGGCGCCGGTTCACAGGCCAACACAGTCCGTGCCAGCACATCAGCAGCTGCGACAGCGGCAACCACATCCTCAGCGGCAGCAGCAGCATCTACAACAGCAGCGCCGGCGGTCACGGTAACGGGCACATCGTCGTCGCAGAAGTAATTAGACGACAATGCAGAGACAGTTTTTTGATGATTAGGCTTAGGTTAAAATCTACCTTAGTTTTCAGGGGGCGCTCGTATTTGCATTGCTCTCCAACACACTCTTTTGTTTATTCATTCTTTTTATTCTTATTATTATTATTTTGTAGTATTCGAGTCAAGCGTAATGTGGGAACAGTCGTGTTAGCTTTTAGCATAATTAAGTGAAAATTTTTGAAATTTGTTTATTGCAATTTGCTTAGCGCGTTGGTTTAGTAGTTACGATTCTTTCTAATTGTTTGTTTCTCGCATCCCCTCGACTAAAAACAACAAAAAACTATAAAAAAAAAAATGGTTGCTTACAAAATGCTCAATGTTTGTTGTTAGCACACACTCACACCCAAAACACATACAACACACAGCGGGGTCTGTCTGCTTTGTACCAGTGCCAACCAGCCATGATCTTGAAAAAAAGTTAACGAATCGAAAACGATTGCCCTTATTTTTTGTTTTGTTGATTGACTATTCCCTTTATTATTATATTATTTTTTTTTTTTTGTTTGCGAAACAAAAATCAAGGCAAAAGATTTTCCTACTTAGAGCAGCGTTGATTGTTGACGTAATGCCATGAACTGTTGTACTATATACGATTAAAGATAATAACCATAACGAATAACCCTATGCAAACTCTACCTAACGAGAAAGCTGAATAGAAATCAAAACGAAATTGATACGCAACACACAACCAAATGATCTTAATGCAAATACATTTTGTAAATTACAAAGAAAGATGCATATATATATACGGAAAATATATAGCGCAATGGCACACTGCATATATATATAAACATATATAAAAATGAATATGAACACTAACTCTATTATTATTGTTTATTTTTGTGTCATCTGACCTAAGCGCAAATGTAAAATGTAAAATGTTGTAATAGAGGCAACGAGAACTTGTAGTCCTTAACCCAATGGAGGCAAGCGGGGCTCAAGTGCCAGCGAATTTTAGTTATTTAAGCATTTACCACAAGCAAGCAAGTCCAGCGCAGCCACAAACGGATTAGGAATAGGAATATCTTACCCTTGCTCTAGCCCTTGCCTTTGCACTGCCCCCCCACCCCCCAGTCTACACACAAAACTTCGTACCCCGCCAAGCATTTAGAAGCATGTCCAAAACCATTTAGTTCTTACCCTAAGTTTTTGCACTTGTTACTTTTTAATTCGAGAAAACTACGATTATAACAAACGAAAAAAAAAAACCAAACAAAAACCATGAAAATTAACAAAAAAAAATTAAAATCAAACAAAAATGTCAAGTCCAAAAAAAGTTTAAAACTTTATAAAAAACGAGGCAAATCATGCAAGCGAAAAAAAAACACAATAAGAGATAATGAAATTTGTTTCGCATAGTGAATAAATCTAAATTTAAAACATATGTGAGAAATCAAATGTAAGCTTAATACGGATAATAACTATATATATCTGAATATATATATCTACGCATATATAGAGAGACACAGCATCTGACTTTAATTAACTAATTAAGAGGCGAACGGTGAAGTTGTTCGATGCAGTTAGCAAAAACTCTCTCGCAGAAAGGTCCTTTAGCTCCTCAGCTCATCTAGCGCATACACCACACACAAATACGAAAAGTGCAAAGAACGTTTCATTAAATATTATTTCTTAATCATTAGATATTTGTAAATGTATATATTTCCCCGCTACCTATCTTTTTAAACTGTCGCCTTATCAATTTTACCCACACAGAGCACACACACACACACATTGGCCAGACGCTTCTGTATGAGCTTAACGATCCTATAAATATTATACATTTTAAATATAATACAAATCATAGAAAGAGAGAGGTCAGGTCCAAGGACAATTCATTCGGCTGTTGCGTAATTATACATAGTTCTGCCACAACTATTTTGTTTTTCACATGAAGTGTTGACCTTAGTTTATACACACACACACACACCCACTTGATCACAGACTTTGTATGTGTGACTTTAAGTTTGCAACCTTTTATATGAATAATTTACGTTTAAATCTACGAATACGATACGATACACACACACACACACAGAGAATGAGAATACCTACGAAATGAACATAATGGAACTCTATTTAAAGTAATTTTGTAAGCCACTTAAATATGGAAAAAGCGAGAGGAAAACTAAGTAAACAAAAAAAAAAAAAAACGAAAGAAATGATTATTGTGAAAAACGTGATAGTTTAAACCATAAAGAGTAATATTTACTACTATTATTATATTAATAATTAATTATACGATGCATATATGGTTATGTACATGTATGTAAAACGGAAAACCACAAAAAATTTCTAAACTAACGTAAACAAAAAAAAGTAAAAAATTTTTTTAAAATTACCAACACAAAAAAATGTTAAAAACAATGAGTAGAAAAACTAAAACAAAAAAATGAATAAAAAAAAACTTGAAAAAACCAAAATCAAATATGTTTATGACCTTTAAGGGAAAGCGAAATCTGAGGGAAATTTCTCAAGGGAAATTATTTGATTCCAGCCTTTTCCGAAGGTGGCGCCAGCAGCATGAATATTTTCTGAGAGCAAAAAACTGATTTTATTACAAAGGATTCATTTATTAAAGAAGCTTTATGATTAAATAATTAATTTTAATTTGTTGTATGAAGAATAAAAACAGAAAATCCTAAAACCATGGACCTTAGCAAATTACAAAAAAAACTTACTGAAGAACAAAGGTCGAAAAACAAAAGGGTGGCCAATGCCCAATCGATTGACCCTTTGAGTAATTAACCTTTTCAGGGCCATTTGTCATCCGGCAACAAAGTGCAAGGGGAAACTGCAAACATCTTCTCATGCTGCAGCAGCTCCGAGGCTGAGCCCCATCCCGGACACATGTTGTTGGCTTTGGCGAGCATTGGGTGTCACAGATTAACGCCTCACTTGAATTATGGCCAGGCCTCCCTCCCAGAGCACCACCGGAGAAAACTACTCCACAAAATCCGGAGCGAGCGCGTGGAAAAATCATGTATAAAACATAAGAGCAGCAACACACAGGTGCACTTAGAAAAAAACAGGACGATATAAAGATAAATTTTAAGTGACTTTTTTAAATATTTCCTTTAGAGATTATAATAAAAGGTTAAAGAAAATGAGTTGAAGAATCACTTTATTTTATTCTAATCAATATTTAAATTTAATCGGCTACTGAGCCGATTCAGTTTCCAAGTGTATCCAAAGGTATACGGCTGGGTGGCTTAAAGTCTACAAAGGACAAGACGCAAAGGCACGCAAGGACCAGAAGTAGAGGCCGAGGACCTAGGACCTGGCTCCTCGCCGACGATAGCCTGCAGAGGCGTTTAAAAATTGAAAACCAATTTTGTAGCGATTTAAAGCGGGGCGGCGCGGCAGTTGGAGAGGCCCAAAGTTAAGCCAGATGGCGTGTGTGAATGTGTGTGTGTGCTGGCTGGTGGTGCTACTTTTCGCACCTCAAGCGCAAGTCCTGACCCCGACAGAGCTTAGATTGTGTTACCAATATTTATGGCTCAATGGGGACAGGGGAAGACCAAGGGCTTTCGGCTGGCGTGACCGCGACCAGGTCTAATCACATGTGACCCCTTCGAGGGGCAGCAGAAGCAGAAGCAGGCACAGGGACATGGGGCAGGGATTGGAAGAGGGCATTCATATCGAAGCTTAATTTAATGGGCGTTTAACGTGTGACTCGCCTTTGAACTTTGCCCGCACTTAGCTCACGCACATGCTTCCGGCGGGGAGTGGAGCCCACGGTTACGGATCGGAGTCCCTGGAATGGGACAAACACGTCAAAGCTGCAATTTATTGGCATTTCCCTTAATAATCAGCGAATGGTGGTGCTCCATTGGGCAGGAGCAAATTGCTTGCACGGTTTGACAAGACATTAATTGGGGTGCTTGAGCCGGGAAATCCCAAGCCCAGTTTATTTTCCAAGGTGCAATGGAAACGCACAGGTAATTGCAATGGCGAAGTGTTTGTTGCGGTGTTTTTCCATCGATTAGATGCGTTTATGAAGGTGAAGGAGGAGAAGTAGTCCAGAGTTCAGCCCACGAAAGCAGGATATTTTTTCTTATTTTATGATTTCAATGAGTTTTCTACCTATTTCTTTATCCCACAGTCTTAGATCTTTATTCAAACACTATTATTCTTCGATAATATATCCTGATCCTGTCTATATTTCAACATAAAGATACAGATTAAACAACAAGGATTTGCCAGGGTAAATCAACATTTGCCATGTGATGGTCCGGCAACCACAGGCATAACAATTTGCACATTGGCTTATCGTTATTATTGCCCCGATCCATAAATATAATTTGGAGCTTTCAACAATTTTAATACCTAAATTTTCGCTTTGGTGCGCCGCCTAATTAGTTCAACCTGGGGCGGGAAATTCCGGATTCCGGATCACGAGAGCCGCGAAACCTCTGTCAAAATTTTATCACCGCAAAGCAACGGCCCACAGAGATGGCCACCGGAACCAAAGCAAACTATTCGGCGACCCCTTGGGAGATGCAATGGCATGTGGGCAAAAAGAGTGATTCAAATATTCGAAATAATTAAATAAAATATTTCATAAAATGGTTTCCGGTTGCACCGCTTTGGCGTGTCCCCAGCTACTATCGAAAAACTAATTATATTTTGGGGTCTTCCATGCCTGTGGATAGCAGCCAATGGTAAATACCGGGGATGTATAGAAATTGGCAATAAATTTCCACTCTTTTCCTATGCCAGCGCATCCTTTGAGCTCAATGAAAATCGAGCATGCACGAATTGTTCATAAATGAATGTTTCCGGGGACAAAGTTTGTCAGCCGTGCGGAATATGTATTTATGCAATATATACAAGCGGCATATCAATATCTTGGACTTTAAATTGCGTTTTATCCAATATCTGACTGCAGGATATATCGGTTCGTATGCAAATAGAACATGTGTAAACTTATCAAGATTATGAGTTTTATATCGAAAAAAATGTAAGAAAATAAATATTAATTTAAAAATATAACTCTTTAGTCAGATTTTCAGTCTTTTTGGTTATTCTTTGAATACTTTACGTTCACTGATAGATTTCCATGTTTTTCATGCTCACAATTAGGCCAAGTTAGTCCGTTGTCCGCTTAGGAATCACCCACAAAAGCGGGGTTATGCTGCCGGAATGCAATTCCATTAATTTTGACTCGGCTCTGCTCTGTTTTGGCCTACTCAAACTATTTGCATGGCCATTATGTGTGGCCCACGCACTTGCGAGAGCCCTAATGGGTAGGGCTTACACAGCAATTACATTTCATTTGAAATGCACTGCCCAAGTACCCATATACCGCCGCCAGATGCCCAGGACTTGACAAATTGTCACGGGGAGAGGGAGACGAAATTAAATTAATGATGTGATTTTCTTATTTAAGGACATTAAAGCAAGGCCTGTATCTTGTGCGACGGCAATAGGTCCAATTGATGTTACCAATTCTACGCCAAAATCGGACACAATACAATATCTATAAGATATTTAAATAAAATCTTTGATCTCGAGTGTATCTACTTACTTTTTAGGGGGTTAACCATGATTAAGAATAAACCTTAAGAAAGATTTTAATTATTTTATAAAAATATTTATTTATTTATATGTAATCTACCTATCGCTTTAGCCTTTACCAGAATATTTTGCCTTAAACATATTGTTTATTCCAAGGTAAAGTTCATGTTTAAACATATGGACATTAAAAACTACAACTTTCTATTTTTATT